AAAGGATCTTACTTCACAAGTTAGTAAACTCAAAGATGAATATGCTACGCTAAATGAAGAATCTCGTGAGGTAATACTTTATCTCCTTGCTTTGATGAATCACCTTGATGCTCTAGGGATATAAAATAATAAAGGAAATATTTTGTTTTAATCAATTTTCAGTTGGCTCAGGAGAAAAATGATCTCAGAGAAGAGAAAGCTTCTCTTAAATCAGATATTGAGAACTTGAATAATCAGTATCAGCAGCAAATCAGAACTATGTATCCTTGGACTGCAATGGATCATTCAGTTATGATGGCTCCACCATCATATCCGTATCCAGTGCCAATGCCAGTACCTCCTGGTCCGATTCCCATGCAGCCATACCCCTACTATGCTAATCAACATCCTGCAGTCATCCCTAACCCATGTTCAACATTTGTTCCTTATTTAGCCCCCAATACCCTTGTTGAACAGCAATCCACCCAGTATGTATCCCCACCACTTCATCCGGGTAGTCGGTCCCAGTCCCATGTGTCAGGGAAACAAGACTCCAAAAACAAATCATCCAGGGAGAGCAAGGCTGGAAAAAGTGAGGATTCTAATGATGTCACTACAGACCTCGAGTTGAAGACTCCTGGGTCTTCTGCAGATCAGGTTAGTGTTGTTTTTCGAGGAAATCTTGTAACCAATAGCTTTGATAGAAGAGGTATTGAATTCAAGAGGTGTTTGCGCGTTTGGTTTTTACAGGATTTATCATCCGGACAAAGAAAATCTAGCAAGTTGTCAAGGAAGGAAAGCATTTGCACAGAAGGGAGTTCGTTTGGTAGGTGTTCTTCATCTCAAAGCGTTCAGGATAGCTCATCAAGTAGTGTAGCTGCCAGCAGAAAGCCTAATGAATGAGAAGGCACACAATTTTAGACAAGTGCTTATGCCTTTAGAAACCACTTTGAAGTTTCTGTTATCTTGAGGTATAAGTCATTTCTGTCCAAAAAAAAAAAAAAAGTCACATCTGTTATCTTTTCCTGACTAGGAATTTAGTCTAAGTAGGTTTAAATACCACATAATTTAATCATAAACTTTTCCTTGTTGTGAAAAGCTTGGCAGGTTTAATTGTTAATGTTCCCGTTTCTTGTAAAAAATAGAAATTGCAGTTGGAAAATCTTCAAGCTGACCAGTATGGCTAATGTGTAGGTATGTAAATCCCTTCACCATAAACTCTCCCAAAGGATCATGCCAATCACTCTATCTTTTCTGGACTCTAGATAGTGCTATTTATTAGTTAAACCACGTGGCAGCAAGAGAATGGTCCCATGGATATTAAAGCATATAAGGGAAATAAAATTATATAGTCAAAATGCTGGTGAGTGTTCCTTGATTATAGGGAACAAACATAGCATGTTAATGGTGGGACACGATCAATTTACATTGCTCTAAGAATAATAAATTGTATAGTTAATTTTAAGCCATTGATTATTTAAATGATCATATACGGTTAACAGCAGGCAGTGTTGAGCATAAATGCGTCCCACAATCAAAGCAACTAATGAGCCCAACTATGGTGGTTAGATTCTTGAATTTTGAAATTATTTGTTGACAATAGAACTAATGCCAGCACGTCGAAGACCCACTTTGTAAGTAATATATTTCAAATCATTAACTAAAATTCAAGTCTTTTGGGATGGTTGTGCCCAATATGAAACCAATTTGGTGGGTTATGGGTACAAGGGAATGTTATTGGCCTTTATTTTTTGGGTAGAAAGTCTTATGGATAAGTATAACATATTGTTATACTCTCTTCGATGGTCGTAAATGAGGTCAGCCAGACCAAAAAATGGCACAAGTATGTTGAAGAGAGAATAATATATATTAGTTGCGTATTATATGACCAAATTTTTATTTCGTATTTTGGTCTTTGTAAAATAAAAAAAGATAAGCTTTTCAAACAAATTTAAAAACAATATTAAAATTCGATACATTATCGACATCGTCACCAAAACTCAATTTAATTTTTAAAAAACAAATGAATTTGAATTATATAAAGAAAAAAGTGTTTATCCTTTAAAATGATACAATTTATATCCTTTTACTCTCACAAAGAGGTGAGACTTACACTTTTTTTTTTTTTATCAACTATCTCTCTTCCTTTATCTATCTTTTTCTCTCTCTTAAAATGACGCAACTTTACATCTTTTAAAATGATACACATTTTTCCCTCGTATAAATTGGCAATGAGTCTTCTGTTAATGAGAAATTTTTTTTCTCCACTTGACCCTTCAAAAGTCGTGTTATTTTTTTTTCTCTCCTAGTTGGTCCCACGATAATTCATTAAACATTTCAACACACTTCAAGGCCCAAAAAGCAAAAACCAACCTTTCAAATGAAGTCTCTGAAAGCAAAAATGTTTGTAGGTTTTTTCAACATAACTACCCAGTCCAAGAGAATCTAACCGGCTATTCGGAAGTATATTTATGCAAATAATATTTTTTATGATATAGGAAATAAATTATATCTCTTGCACACATATAAAAATGTGTGAAGTGATGTAATGAGAAGAGACAATATTAAAACACGGATCTCACATATTTTTATACGGTGTAGAAAATATAATTTATCTCATTGAAAACTATTATTTCCATAAATATACTTCCGAATAGCCGTGAGATTCTCTTGGACTAAAAAACGTACAAACAGTTTTGCTTTCAGAGACTTCATTTGAAAGGTTGGTTCTTGGGCCTTGAAGTGTGTTGAAATAAATGTTTAATGAATTGAAAACAAACCTTGTCAATCAAGAAAATAAAAATAAAAATCGCTGGTAGAGAAAGTTACACTCAAAGAATATATGCCAAAGGCAACGTGATATATCACAAGCAAGTGAGCCTCATCAGCTCATAGAATATATAAACCCCACAACCAGTCTGTTTCTGCAATGTAATGTGTTTCTGAGTGTGAAAGAAAGAGGAAAAAATGTGGTGGTGGTTTTACCCCAAGAAAAGGAATGCAGAATGGAACCAGACGATGGCCAATGTTTCTTTTTCCCCAACTCTTCATTTGCTTTTGATATTTGGCATTGTCAGTAGCTTGTTGTGGCTCTCCCATTACATGAGCTTCAAGGCTCAGTAGCCATCTTGCTGCTGTTATTGCTTCCTTATCAATCCTCATTTCATTCTATGTGTTGAGAAAAGGAGAACAGAATAATCCCAAGTTATCACTACATAAGCATAAGCCTGTGTTTCTGCTTTTTGTTGGAAATTTTTATGTTCTTGTTCACATGTAGTTCATATATATATATATATATTACTGAATTATTTGCTGATATTCTATTTTTTCCTTTCACTTGTGCAAAACTTGAACGTGATCTCTACCTGCATCGCTCCCCGAGTGTGAGAGAGTTTTAGCTACATAGAAATTCAATGGTTTGTTCTTGCTTTCATTTTTGTGTTCTTGTTTATTAGTGACATTTATGAAAAAACAGAACAAGTCCCTCTAATAGAAAAGCGTAACAACTATTCTTTTTTGAACGAAAAACATATGGCTTCGGATGAATTGTACGGTGAACAGTAATAGCATCATATGTTTCATTACAAGTTTCTTCTTATATTTTATTTCGAGCATTAAAAATTTAAAATCTCTGGTTGAATTTTTTTTTTTAGTAGATTAAAAATTTAGATGGAGTTATACTTGAGTAGCCAACTGCACCCTCTCGGGTTAAACTTCATATATAATGAAATTGGCTAATGTTAACTTCAAATCTACATAAAAGATGTCTATCCCACTTTTTATACTCAATTAGCTCAAAGTGTAGCAGAAAATGCATTATTATCTAATTTTTTATATCTTCTAAAAACAATTGATGATTTGTGCGGAATAAATGAAAATATTTTTCTTCCTTTCTAAATCAGTGTTTCTTTTCGGTAGATATAAATTGATATCTAAAGTCTTAATGGATCTTATTAATCCAATTTCGGGTTTGAGTCACTTTATCCTTCTCAATGAATTGCGACTCATAGGAATTGAAATACTATCATTTAGCAGATTAAATCCTGATATCTAACTGAGTCGTTACTATACTAACAATTGTTGGATAGATATTTATCTTTTTAAAATACTAAATAATGCAGGGCGTCAAGTAATTATGCATGTTAAATAATATATTTAAGTAATTGTTAGATATTTTAACAATAGACTTAGGGGAAGGTTATATTTATAAACTTTTTATTTACAAATTCTTACAAACTACACTATGTCTGACCGGTAATACATTCTTGAGTAGAGTATTACCGGTCAAACATAGTGTAATTTGTAAATTTGTAAAAAAATAGTTTGTCAATATAACCCTACTTATAGAATTAACCTCTTTTTTGAAATTGACTTGGGAGTCACTCAATAATAGAAAAAAGGGAAAAGTTCACCAATGCCCCTGTGATTTACTTCAGAATCACCTATGCCCCTGTGATTTTTTTTATCCCATATACTCCTGTGCTTTATAAAAAATAAAAAACTACAGGAGCACATGTGATAAAAAACATACCCTTTTGCAACCACAAGGGACATATGTGATAGAAAAAAACCACAGGGACATAGGTAATTCTGAAGCAAACCACAGGGACATTGGTGAACTTTTTCCTAGAAAAAATTATTGAGAATTACCATCGTCAAAAGGACTCTGGAATTCCATAATTTTATGACTAAAGGACAAGCATAATCACGACAATTGCGTTTTCTCCCCTTCTTTTTTTCAGAGAGTATTGGTAAGTTCTGACTGTCAATAAGTTTTCTAAAGCAAGAAATATTTGTTTCGTTTTGTTATGATATCCCCTTCGTTTGAGCAACAGTGAATTCCAATAAAAACTTGTTTCACTTACCAATTTGTTGAATTGAAATAGTTGTTTATCATAATATCATAGCCTCACGGGATAACTTAGTCTCACTTTTTAGTGGAATTAATTTAGTACTGGTATGGACCTATGGAGCATAAGATAGAACATAAAAAAACAAATCTATGTAATATCAACACTTTGCATGAAAGGCGTAAATTAGATATAATATAAATGCATTAAGGACTCCTCACTTACTTACAAGTTTGTTCCATCTTTGCCATCATTTAGAAGGAAATATATACGTCAGAAGCACCTTAAACACCATTCATATTTATACAGCACCATATTCTCTTCATCTATATACTTACAATAATAACAGGATTTGTATTACGGAACTAAAAGCCACAAACATATAAACATAAAACAAACCTATAGAAGAAAAAGAAGAAGAAGAAACAGCTAAAATAAGATTTCTAAGTCAAACAAACCAGCTATCAAGAAAGATGGATTGAAATTGCACCAATATCAGCAACACCACATTCAAAGCAGCCACACCCCATGGTGAGCTCCCTTCAGATAGGCTTTGGAGGGTTCTCATGTGCCTCTCCCATGGCGACCAACCAGAGAATCAATCTAAATTTTCCATTGATGATAACCAACGAATTATGAGTATTAGCACCACTGGGGTGACATATAGTACCCAACCCAATAGTTCTTCAGCAGTTTCAACCACTTCTTTAAAGGCAAAGTACCATAAAATGCCTTTAAAGAACCATGAAATGCAAAGGAAGATTAAGATTACTGCTATGAATAGCAAAACAGGATATGGCAGGGGATGCAAAGTGAGCCCATCCAAAAGAGAAGAGAATGTGCTTCTATCATAAGCCATTGAACTTGATGAGTATCAGAATTCAGAACTGCGAAGCATGAAGGATAGTTTTATTTATAGCAAAACTAAACAGATTAGTGAATGACTGATTTGGTCGGTGACCAATTTCTAGAACTTTGTTGTTTATTCTATGATTCTCAAATGATTGATAAATAAATGAGAAGTCAAAACATCTGAGTTAGTGTTTAGCATGTATAACATGCTAAACAAAGAGTGATTGGATTTTTCCTTCATTAAAAGGGTTAATGGTATGGTGTGACATATCAGAAGAAGGAGTCAGTGTTACTTATTTTTCAAGTTTTAATTAATTGATTTTGACTTGGTGGTCGGAATATAAATGCCTATAATGAGTGTTGCTCCAACAGTTAAAGGTTATCCCATGAAATAACCATAAGAAATGATATTGGATAACCCAGCCAACTTAGCTTGGTTAAAACAAATCCTTACAAGTTTATGTTGTGATGGAACAATCTCTTCTCCCCTTTCCTCCTGCCCCTTAGTGGAGGAAATAAAAATTGATATAGGATAAATTAGGCTTATTTATCTTGAGATTGAATAATATCATTGATTTCTTTTCTGTAATTTTAGGAAACACTTATTTCCCTATTATTGTATTCTTCATCTTTGTGAAGTTGTTTGTGTATTGACCTAGTGTACAAATAGTGCTATGTATGTGAGAAATAGATATACAAAGATAAATTTATCTAAAGAAAATTTAAAGAGATGTTATTGTAATTTCTAATATTATAGAAAAAACAATTTTATCAAACAAAACCAAATCAGTTTGGTTTACTCAATTATTTAGAATGATTTACACAACTTTTGTATTAATTTGTATTAATTGGAGCATATTTTAGTGAAGTTTTATAGCAATGATAATTATTTGTAAGAGTTTATAGTTAAATTGACTTTTTACGAAAAAATAAAAATAAAAATTGACACCGACTTAAATCTTTTAAGGTATGAACGTAATGTCGATATCAAATGTATGATTTTCTTTCATGTCACTTTCACCCTTTTCCTACTCAACCGATTGCACCTACTATGTTAAAAAAATAAAATAAAATGAAAACCTCTTAAACAACGCTATTTGCAATTCTGACCTAATTTGGATGTCTCTGTCCAACTTTTCCTCCAAAGGAATCCCCAATCCAGTTAGAATTAAACTTCGGCCAGTTTTGTCTAATCCACTTAAATGCTGATACCGCTTTACACTGAATCAGATAGCTATATAGAAAATAATGAATCCAAGGTAGGGACGAATGAGCCACTAATAAGGTGAAGGTGAAGGAGATGGTGTGCCATTCCCTATTATAAAATAAACTCACCCTTTTCCCCATCTTCCTACTCCTTTTACCTCTTCTCTCTTTCTTTCTCTGGATAAATTCTAGCATGTTCATGGAATGCAATTAATGCATTCTCCAGGAAGAATCTGTAATCACACAATTGTGACCGTATATAAAAATATCTACAATCAAAAACTAAGACTCCATTGTTTCCAACTCTAATCCAGCAATATGCAAGAAAGTTCAATCATATAAAATGTAACATGCTTAAATTATAATGTAACTTGACCCATAAGAATATAATATATAAGAAAATTATAATTGCTGTCTGGTGATACATTTATAACACTGAATCTTATTTTTTAGTTTTCACATCAAGCAATGGAACAAGATCATAAATTACAAGCTCATCCTATTCCTATGCAATATCTTATTTAGTGACCTGGGACTTTTGTATAACATAGAACACAATCATCCAGAAGCAAGCTCTTGAACAAACACTACCAGGAACAGGAGCAGGGATGGTTACACCGACAGTATGGTGGCTTGACATAAGCAGTTCTTCTTGAACTTCCCCAAAATGACACCACAAGCACGATCAGACCTATGACAAATGGTATGAACAAAGGCGAGCCACTACTCTCTTCTTCTTCTTCTTCTTCCTCTGGTTCACCTGAGAAGAACTTTGGTGCATTCAGAAGAAGCAAGGCCACGGCCAAGATCAGAACAACGTTCCAAGTACGAGATTCATCAGCCCTGGGTCTATAATAATAGTCGCCCATCACTGGAATGCCTGAGAAAATGGGAAGAAAGGTTTTTATAGAAGAGATTCACAATAATCAAGTCAACGAATACAATGGCAAGGAAAGGCTCTACCCACAGGGGATTTTATAAAACAATGGGGAATCTCCACAAGAACTAACATATTATATACAACATTATTGTCCACCACACCACATTAGTATTATCTATTAGGATATTATATTCCGTAAGAATGACGATATTATCATCAACAATATACCAAAATGTGGGGTCAAGTATTGCACTTATAGAAGATGTGATTTGAGCGAGAGTTGGGAGTTTAGTATTAAGAAATTTCAATTTGATCCAAAAATTATAAACAAATTTTGTTTTACGTCATCGTCATAAATCTTTACTGAGCAGGCATTTGGAATTAAGTGGGTGATTTCGTTCTCCCCTCAACAAATCCGATTCCAATACTCCTTTTGTAGAGCGCACACAAAAAAAGAACGAATACAGACAAACTCATACGATCATTCACAAGCAAACATAAAGCCTTGTGGCTTATTCAGATTAAGCAAAAGGTCATAGTCTCTAATTCACATTCCGAACTCATTATAGTCTTGTGATTCATGGAATTGGCTTTTTCTAAGTGTACAAGTCTAATTATCTTATATCACTTTATATACGAAAAGCAAGAAAATAATTCTAATATTGGGGGCTCTTTCCCATAAACAAGAAAGTCTACATGAAGATAAAGCCTGGATATTGAAGGACAATCATATTTGGCAATATGTTGCCTTCAAGAAATCAGCTGTCAATCCACGTCATTGCCTACTATGCAACAGCAACAGGGCAATAAAGACACGTACTCCAGCCAAAGTTAGCCAATTTCTATACATTTGAATTGCTAATATTGTCACAAAAAATCGGGAATAATTAACAAAAAAAGTTCAGACCATAAAGTTTAAGCTATCTTCAACCTAACATCAAAAAAATAAATAAAAAAAATACAAGTATCAGATAAACAATTATCTACTTAAGCACTAAACTAATTACAGCTCAACCTAGTGATGTAAACGGCTAGTACAGTTCCTAAATTTAATGTTTCTTCCAAACCCCAACCGATAGGTATACTACAAAACTATGATGCAGGCATCTATAAAAAAATGGTCTGCTCCGAATGGGAGGGATTGAAGACAGGTTCGGTAACAGCAAATAAAACCGGCATAAACAAAGTTCCCCATGAGAACAGCATTGGCTCTTGGTGAATATTAGTTGACACATAAATTCTCTGTGGGAATAAAATGAGAGGGCACCAAAATTTACCATCAACGAAATTTCAATGTCACACTTTTCCTTCATATTTAAAATTGAGTTTGTAATCGTGTTGAAGACTTGCAAGGGTATTTCTGCAAGGTCCCTCTACAAAAAAGAAATTGAAATTAGATTCTTTCTTTAATTCCTTTCCTAAAATCTGATTGAGTTGTTTACCAAAAAAAAAATAAAAAAAAATCTGATTTGAGTTAAGATTACTTACCTCCAAAAACAGTATGAAGATATTGAAGATCATCAACTGAGCAAGTATCTATTAAAGCGTAGACACCGGGTCTTAGAGCTTCATCTACTTCTCTGCAAATAATGATGCAATATTTGATATTTGCTAATGGTTATGAGCACTGGTTACATTTTTCTAAACAAGTTAACCACAGCCTACAAAATTTTATCTCCATTGATACTTTCTAATTGTTCTTCAATTCAAATATGGGCAAGAGAAACTTCATATAGATGGGTCGATCTAGGTATTTTGAGATGGATAAAGTTCAATGAAAGTAAGAAACGGAAAAGGGGGACCTTTTGTGTGATGGAAAGTGTAATCTTGCAACCGGTAAAATATGATAGCAAAAAGAAATGAGTAAACAACAAAACTGATATCAAACCTTCTAATGCCACTTCTTTTGGGACCATATCCTGAATAAACCCATATATAGTTGGATAAAAACAGAGAACATTGCCGGCTAAATATATCTTTTTGCTGTTTTATCTGCATCACGATTATAAAAACAAACTGGGTAAGCAAAAGGAAAATAAAAAAGGATAAGCTATCAAATATAAGAAATAAATAAATGATTTCTTAAATTAAGGCCAAGATATATTTATTTTTTTAGAGCATTTTCTTCTTCAACCAAAAACTGTTTAATTTCAATAAATAGATAACTAGATCTCTAATGTCATGACCAATGTGAGTCTAGGCACTGGAATCTATTTCAAAATCCAATTTTATTACCACAAATAACAAGCCTAATCACGAAGACTGCAACAAAAGGCAGCAAGATGACATTATCAATAACAGGATCAAATTCTAATATATTAAAATAGGCAAAGGTATATTGAAGCATACAAAATATTACATGGACAACATGGTTTGAAATTTCACCCCCTTGAAATCCTGCTACCTCTGTTCTTTGTCAAAATTAATATTAACCGAAAGCAAGAGTGTGAAAGCATTTTATGCATAAGTTAAAATTTGGCTTTGAAAAGGCAGGATGCAGGGAATAACTGAGAGGAGGAAAAAATCGACTGACATGGAGTGCAAGAGATGTTAATCAAGTCTTTATGTTCAGAAGGTATAGACACAATCATATGGATGTCATACCTCTTCATAAATTCTTCGAAGAAAACAAGCACATTTCACTCCCTCTTCTACTTCCCAAGAGAAGCAACCTCTACTCACCATTGATTCATTATCTAAAACAGTCTCCAAGCAATTAAGAAGAACAGAAACAGAAGCTTCAAGATGGGCAACGCATTGCTTGCACTCACTGGAAATATTATAAAACAAGCAGAATGCATAAGTGGTTAAATATCATGCATAGTAACATCTAAATGTCAGGACTACAATAAAAAGGTAGCAGATTGCAAACAGATGATATCAATATACATCACATATTTATTCCATTGCAAACTTGCCATCTCTATCAATTCAATAATATGTGGAGTTGTACTGTAGTCACAGTGAGCTAAAAGATAAAAAATGAAACATACCTTGGCCGATGCCTAATGATGGTACACAATAGTTGACAACATGCAACAAATAGGTTAATCGAGAACTGGTGATCGACATGGGAGAAATTCACTCTCTCTACTGGATGAGAGATTTGCTCTTCTGAAATCATCAATGAATCTGATGGACCAGAAGCTTTAGAAATTCTAAGCTGATGGAAATTCTGAAAGAGTACTGCAGGGATATGTAACAAGTTTCCCACATGCCACACATCCATTGAGAAGAGAGCATGTTTCCTTGAAACTGAAGCTAGTACTTCAACACACATGAGAATGACTGACCCAGAATCAGGATTACTGGCAACTGTTCCAGATGTCAAGTTAACATAAAAAATATGCAGGCTCCGCAAATGCACAATGATGTTGAAAACAGCAGCTACAAAGCTCTGACAGTGTCTTTTAATCAGCTTCAAGCCTTTCCGACCTTAAGAAAATGTCATAGAATAACAATAAATAGGTTTGCATTTTCCTTTTCAACTTTTTGCATTAATCAAACATGCAATATATTGATACAATAGTAACAACCAAACAAATGTAATCAGTGTCAATCTGATAATCCAAGTATTTGTCAACTCAGGTTTACTTAAGGATTATACATAGGAAATGTGGGCATCATAATATAAAAGTTACAGGTAATGTTACAATTCCCAAAAAGTAATGCCATAGATAATATATCAGTTAGCATTTAGGGTGGTGAAATAACAAATCGTGAACTTAAGGAGGAGCCAAGTCTTGACAGCTTTGTTTTAGGACACAATAAAAGGAAACGACAATAATAAATAAGATTCGGTTGGGTGCATGTTTTGTATAAATTCACTGCCCAGCATACTCTGTCATTAGCAAGGCATACTTTACATTCCTACTCCTACATCCCCATCAGCATGTGACCCATAAGTATAATTATTCCATATATTGTCCACAGATGACTTTCATAACCCAAAGTGTGCACAGTTGTATTTAGAACAGTAAAAACTTTTTCAGTTAATATTTATTACAAATCTTCTAAAGTGAATCAAAATATAGTATTAACAGACTAACTTTAAGTATGACTAAAATGGTACTAACGAAATTAAAAAAAAATAAATGGTACTAATGAAAGGATGTAATTTGCAGACACTAATTAAACAATGATTTGAAAAGCTTAGTATGTGCCCTCAGTAGATGTTCTTATTACCCGAAACAAATTCCAGAATCATGTCAAAGCAATCAACGCCAGCTGCCACCAGTGACGAAATTTCCCCTTCATCTTTACTTATTTTAATGTCATAGATCATCGTACATCGTTCCTGTACTCCAACTAGAGCTCTCTCAATGGCCTGTATTGTAGACAAAAGATGCAACTCTGATTGCCTCTCTATATATGCTTTGAATGACATCCGCAGCTTAGTTTTAAATTCATCCAAGCAGAAGCAGTATATTTCAGTAGAAGAATAAACTTCAAATGATCCTTTATGAAGTGTCTTGGTACTTGACTGTCTTTCATGAAAGGTTAGTGTTGCCCTTTTTCCTTGCAACAATATGGTCTTGCCTATTGCCCTCATGGAAATCTGTATCAATTTCGTATAAACTCTCCTAGATGAGATAGGATCAGTGAAAGGAAAATAACTTGCTAATTCTCTCAGATAGCTGAGAGCGCCATCTAACAAAAGAAAAGCAGATTGTTGTGGGACCACAACCATTTCTGTGAATTCTAATAACAAGACTTGTGAAATCTCAATGAAAGTCGAAACAAAACTTGAAGGCAAGGAAGAATCATCCTTGTGCAAATTTAACCTCAAAAAAGACGAGGAAACAATTAACAATTGTCTCAGTAAAAAAGCTACTTCAGGATGATCACCTTTTACCAAGCTTTGCAACAAAGGCTTATTCAGACCCTGTAGCTCAGGGGAATCAGCACTAGCCAAAACACTGGCAACAGAGTTTTCTCTTTCAGGGTTCGACATTCTTTCAAGATCACTGGCACTTTTGGAGACATTATCAATTGCTGATGACGTGGAGCAAGTAGCTGCAGCTTTAGATTCTATTTGTGTACCAGTTGAGGCATCAGCCTTAGAAACTGAGCATTCAAGTGACAAATATTTCGAACCAGACAAGTGGAGGACTGGCTTTTCAAAACTCTGCGTTTCATGTAAGCTTTTGGAGAGTTGATTATTCTCAACAAGAAATTTGTTTACAACAAAATCAACAAGTTCCACAAGAGAACATATACAACTGTTTAGTTCAGAGGCATGCTCACTTTTCCACATCAACACTTTTTCTTTACAATCACCACTATCTTTTGCATCTGTTTGGCCCATGACGGATGTGAGGCCCCACAAAAACCCACCAAAACAAGAAACTGCAGAAGACAATCTATTAATGTTTTCATAAGTAAGACCATATCCCACATTAACACAGCAAGGGGTATCCTTTAGAGAAACAAGCAAACTTTGCATCTGTTCTTTCAAATTCTCAGCCATAAAGGTTAAACATTTCAATGCCTCAAGCTTGGGGGAATCTACAAACTGAGAAGAAGTAGGCAAATGATTCTCTTCATGGCTAATTTTGCAATTGGAGATCTCTTCACAAGGCATCTCAGCTTCTTTATCAATGGAAAAAACATGAATAATTTGACATTTTCCAATGCCCAACAAGACATATGATGTATGATCCATTAAAGAAAACATCAGAGATTTAAATAGAACATTATTTTCTGCTGAGAATGCCTCTTTAATCCCAACAATCACAGATAATGACTTTGAAAGCCATAAAACAGGAAATGAACTTTCAGATATAATTGATTTTGGTGAGGATCGGATAGTGTCCGTCTTCTCACAAAATCCCATCAATATATACCTTAAGGCCTTCCGGCAAGAGACAAATAATTTCAAATACTCACAACCATAATCCCAGTACACTGTGCTCTGAATATATAGCAATGCACTGACAAGAAGCCTGCAAAGTTTAAGCAGACAGAATGTGAGAATTAATCTTTTAAATGTTAATAAATTATGCTGCAGAGAAACCCTTGGAGACATCTTTAACACAGGTTCACAGCTGTTTGGATTTCTTTCTCATCAGCAAGGACAGTATCATAAACATATTATTTTTGTGTAAACACAGATAGTTTTGCATTTTCATTCAATTAATTTCCTTTTCTTTAATATTTTTAAAGATATAAGACATAAGTATATGTGCACTCATTTTGTGTCTTCTTATTGCCAAAGTAAAATTATTTGAAAACAGTAATAGGTCTAGTCTCGAAGAGCTATTTGAATAGAAGCAACTGATCAAAGTGAAAAGATTTTTTCCTCAGTCCTGCATATGTATATTTTGGCATAGGATTGTGTTTATGACCCGGGAGATTCCATTTATAATATTAACAGAAATTGGAATCTTTTTTTTTTCATTTTAAAACTCTTTGGCAATCTGTTTGCCTTTAGTTTCTATATTTTGGAGGATATCTTACCTCAGAGCTATTGTTGAACTTTCCCTCTTCTCTATAATACAATTTATGCTTTTATCTACAGTTTTACACACCCACACACACACAAGATAATAAGGTAGTATCCAACAGAGAGATGAGAGTACCGTTCAAGGTTGAAAATACAAATCACAAGATGTGAAAATGATCTTGCATTTAAATCTGGCATTGAACATAAGAGATTAAGCAAATGGTGGCAATCTGTCAAACTTTTGTGGGTAAGAGGGCAGGCCTTTCCATCTCTGCTACTATCTACAGGAAGCTTGTCAAATGAACGAGTGATTGACTTTTCTACCGCAGAACAATCAACTGGATCCTCTTTATTTTTATCAACAACCAGTTCTGAGTTGTCAAGGGCACTTAAAAACTCAAGCCAATTGGGCGATGACCGAAGATTGACATCAGTACACAGAATATTACTAAATAACGGTAGCACAGATTTCTCTAAAGCACAGCAAAATATTGAGGCCAGATTCCTGTGGGCAAACTAAAACAACAGTATGAAATGAATACCTATAGATATAATTGTTTCTTACTCAAAGTATCACACTAGAGCATGAAACGAGAAACAAATTAAAGAAATTTACAGAAAGCAGAACTAAGCTGAAACGAACAATGGCAAAGATTAATATGCACTTCTTTACTAGTTTACTTATGAGTGTGCATGCGTGAGAGTGTGATAAAAAAGACTTGTGCATAACCAAAGCATCTTACTTTTTGCTCATACAAAAGTGAATCACACAGAAGTTCTGATGATATTTGTGGCAACACGACTCTCTTGAGCAGCTTACACTCATCATTTTCTTGCACAGCTGGCTCTTGAAAACTGCTTGTTACACAGTGAAGGGAAGTGTGCAGCAAATGTGAGAAGAATTTTTTCAACTGCTTCTTGGAAGCATGGTTGCCCCAAATATCGACATTTTTGCAAAGATTTGACCAAATGGCTGTTGGCAATGAATTTTTGTTTGCAACATAAATTCTTTGATTCCACCCATTGCTTTGAGGAGCCAGAGAAATGACATCTTCACAAGTTACATCCTCAGAAACAAAGATTGGGGATTTATATACGCATGATAAGTTTTCCATAATAAAATTGGTAAGTCCTGCTGCCTCTTCCTTCAGAGCCTTGATTCGTGATCTATAATGCTTCTTTTGCAAATACTTGAACAATATAATCTGCCTATTCAAGTCAACGAGTCTCTGAAGAGCCATAGATTGAAAAATATAGATCAAAGGTAAAGAATCATCTGAGCCATACTTAAGGTATATGTCTGAAATAAATTGCATAACGACAAGGAGGGAAGCAGAAGGTTGAACAACTGAAGAAAAAAAACCAATATCTATCTCGTCAATCCTCTCCATCAACTCAAATGCAGAATATCCTGTGTAATCCCCCACCTCGGCAGACATCTTCTTTGATAAAACTGGGGGCATAAGGCTGATTGCTTGCCTAAGTAAGCTCCGGCAGGACACAAACAACTGGAAAAAGAACACAAGGACCCATTGACTGGACCTACCAAATTTCTTCAAAACCTTTCCCTTTCCAACCACTCCCATGACAGATGAAAAGAACTTGCCGATTGTATCTGGCTGTTGTCCAACTAGAATACCCAAGTAGGGACGCATTAATGCCATTAGTTCTTTTACAGAACCTCCAAGAAGATTGCTGTTGCCTTCAGTGATAGTGACTGAATCAAGCACTAAGCAATACAGTCTAGACAGCCCTCTACCCAAGAGTTCCATTCGCAGATTAAAAATTTGCAATTTCTCGCCATCAACCAATGGAAAGAAATCTTTCATCCACCTAAGAGATTGTGAAATATCATCTGTTATCTGTCTAATACAACCACTCACTTGCCCTTCTGGAATAGATTTAATGGCTTTATAAATGGCACGGATGAACTTCAGTGAAGATAGCAGCCTTTCAACTGATTCCGAATAAACTTCATTAGACAGAAATGTCAAGAACCTAGATGAACTTTCTTCAGTATTACCCTCATGAGATATAACAAGCCTTATTGCTTTGCACAATGCTAATATAGCAATTTTCACCTACATCATTTCAAATAGGTAAAGACACGCCTGAAATCCATTTAAAGGGAGAGGGCAAAAGTAAACAAAATGTGGCATAAGCTGAATAAATTCATGAATATAACAATTTTTGAAAGACTTCCCCTCACCCAAACCCTTCATTCCGCTCCCCTCTGCCAAATGAATGATCATACCTAGAATTACACTAAGACATGAAGTAATAAAATCACCAAAAAGGCACAACCCATGCAAAACCTCTAAAATAGAAATTGATAAATTGAGGTCCGAGGATAAAAAATACTATATAGTTGGCCACTAATCAGAGTTCTGATACGAACCTGGCGAAGTTGACTGTAGAGATTAATTATTTGGCACCCCAGGGCAGCTATAGTGGAAGATAGTGAGCACTGATCAGAATCATTCACCAAATTGCAATTGATGGTGGAGTATGACAACATAACAAGCCATAAATTCACTAAATCTTCTCCAACAACCTCATATTCAATTTCCAAAAGATATCCCAGAGCAACTAGAATCTTATTAGCTGATAAAATAAAGTTTTCTGTCTCCATCCTGTTAGATGTATTGTAGTTTGACAAGCAGAGGACACTAGTGGAACAAGTTATCAGTGCATTAAATATTTTCTTCAAGAAATTAAGATGAGCTCCTCTAGATGTGTCCTCTGTTCTCACATATACCTTCTCTTGCATAAAACTAGCAAGCAGATTACCAATAGAGCCGAGTATACCATGAAGATCCAACAACAGGAGTTTGGCATCTATTTTGGCTTGAAGATAAGCATCAATCTCGACCAAAAGAGGCTCCACAATCAGTACAAAAAAATTAAAAAGTGATTTTTGAGTGTCTGTAGAGATATTATTTGAGCTACAATTTTGTCCTGGCACTGGCTGCCTTGAATCGTTCATATTTTCTGTTAGCTTGCTCCCTTCATACAACACGGAAGTTCCCTTGAACTTTCTTGCTGAATTAACGTACAAGTGAAATAACAAACCTATGCTACCCATTGCCATAGCATTCTTTCTAGCTATAATTTTGTTCAGTACATCAAATAAATGTCTAGGATAACTCTTAATAGTTGCTTTTGAGTCTTCCGCTATATCATCACATGAAGCAACATACTTCTCTGAACCATGTAAGCTTAAAAATTCATCAATATGCACTGGATGAAAAAGTCCATGCGAAAGAACTTCTTCCACCACCTTCATTAATCTCCCCGTCCAAATCGGATTACCTCCGTTAACCCGAAGATGCAACTCACCCAACAAATGCAGCAGTGGCTCAAGAAGTTTATCCACAAAATTATGAAATCCTTTCCTAGCCGGATGGACCCTCAAAAACTTGGAGAATGGTTGAAGCACCAACCACAAGAAGCGCAGTGCAAAAGCACCCACATTGCTGCCATCAAGTTTCTCACTATACATTTTCAGTACAAGTTTAAGCCCTGCTTCGGCTGTTTCAACCCACAAGTCCAAATTTTCACTTGACAACCCACTATGGGATGAGAATACCAACGAAACACAATCGAGAGCAGTATCATACAGTTTATTCCTTCCATCAGGTATAGAAGGTTCTCCTGAACAGATAGAGGAGTTGTCGTCTAGTAGTGACAGAGCATTTCTGGCAATAAACTGAACAGTTTGTAGGAGGTTCCGCGACATATTCAAGGAGACATTAAACTTCAAAGACTCCTGCAAGCAGAACTTGAATATCTCCCAACAACGAAGATCCATATATGCCTCAATTCCCTCAACCTGAGGTGTCTTCCCATCCCCCCAATTCTCCTTCCCATTTGGAGGGAACAACAATGTCAGGATCCAATCATTGAGAAAACACAGTAGTCTCGGTAGTTTTATAGTTTCACAATCCTGAACAGTGTCAACACTATCATCCCCTCTTGAATGCACAAAATTGAACGCCCGATTGACCTTACTGCACTAACACACACTCATTGTGGAAAAGGAACAAAAAAAAAAATGTCTCAGTATGCTTCTGGATAATAGGGTGTAAAATATCACCAAAATGTTGATTTTTTTTTTAAATATTTTCTTCATGTTTAAAGCATTCAATCACTTCAAAACTTGTGCATAATAGAAGAGAAAAAATACGATTAAAAATAAGAAAACAGAAACTAACCTCTGAAGATCAGAGTGTTTGTCTTGGATGTACAGTATCAATTGAAGGTTGTTCCATGGATGGCCAAGGTCTTGAGGTTTCTCAGCAGAATCCAAACGCTGCCGTTTTGAAGGTTTTTGAGGTTGGGGGTGGAATTTCTGCTCTCGTTTTTTGGTCTTCTTATGGTTTTTCATCTTTGAATTTCCTTCCGAATCGGCCATCGTCGAAGCTTTCTTCGGATTCGAGCTCTGGGTATGATAATAAACCCTACTATGGCTTATGGCCGTAAGGGTTTAAGGAAGGCACATGTTCGTTTTAACTTAATTTTTAAGAATTTTAAATAAATATACACAAACAAGTTATAATTACAACTTTTTTTTATAACATCTTACAACCAATCATATTTTAATACTGTTAATTTTCGTCAATCAATAGTTATCATTTATTGTGAATTAATAATTAATTAATAAGTTTAATTTACGAAAATAATAACCGTTGATTAACGAAAATCAACGGTGTTAAGATATGGATATAAGAGGTTGTAAAAAAAAAGTTGTAAGTATAACCTTCCTCCATATATATTATATATTTTAATAGGACTTTGATCTATGAGAATCACAATTTTTGAGTGATGGAGAGATACAATACAAATCTAAAATTGGATTACTCCAATTTATTAGGACTTGTAACAATCTGTTGTTATTATAAAAAAATTGGGGTAGGATATATTACCGTAAAAAAATTTACAATCTTTTGTTGTTGCACTGAACTAAGTAAGTGTCCTCTTCTCAGAGAGGAGGAGTTGCCTAAACCTAAAGGATTAGTTCCTCGAGTCTAGTTAACTCGACAGCTTAAAACGAATAACGCGCGAGCTTTCCTCGACTATAGCGCGAGTAGAGTCTAGCTCGACAAAAGGATCTGCTTAACTTGACAATAGCTCGACTAGGTCGCTTCGCTTCCAAAAAGAAAAAGACCTCCTTTCTTGTATTAAGAGTGTCTTTTTTTTTTTAATTGTACTTGATTGAGTACAGGTAGTAGTAGTGGAGTTGAAGAGGTCGCTATCTCTCCAGTGAAGGCTCGCTTCGTAGACTTCACGAGCAAAGAATAGATATTAAGTTAGTTGTGAAAATGATAAATATTTTTTATAATAAGTATATTCTGTCCCAAAAACTGAGGTCAACTTTTTTGATCTTTTTTTCTTCTCATTTATGGTCTTTTCGTGGGCTTTACTTAAAACTTATTTTAGTAAATCTTTCCTTCAAAAATATTATAAATTTGTTTTGGTACAAATCTAAAATTAATTAGTTTGTGATGTAAATTATTATTGCACAACGACACGGGAAATAAAAAGAAAAATTATTTTAGTTTTTTGTTACAAAATAAGTCTTTAGGAATAAATTTTCGGTAATGGATTGAATATTTATGTTAAATTATAGGTTCAAATTTCTGTATCATTATTAATTAAAAAATTATTGTAAATTATTATAATTTTTTCTTATTATAAAACTTAATGAAAAAATTAGGAATAAAGAGATACACATAAAATTTTTATATGATTAAATCATATGAAATTTTAACATGATTATTAATTTATGTAGATTAATTTTTAAAAAATTATATTATTGCTTAAAAAAAATAAATACCAAATAAACTTTTGAAGAGATATTTATTTCAAAATACATCATTATACTTTTAGAAGTGACATTACAAGAAATTATAAATGTTATTTCTGAGTAAATTCAAAAATATGTTTACATGGTATTAACTATTTTCAAGAATATTTTTAAAATTTAAAGGGTTCGTCATTTCTCATATCATTGCAGATGAATTTTTTTGCAGTAAATACATTTACACTAAAATCAACATATAAATAAGTGTTGTTGCAAATTTTTTAATATGCAACAATAGGATAAATATTAAAGCCAAATTTAAATGATGGAAGAAAGAAAGAAGAGTGGAAGGGAAGATTAATAATTCGACTAGAATATAACTTTGATTCCCGTGCCATAAGAAAATACATAGTCATCTCTTTTTTTAAATATTTCAATCGGTTCATTGCTTCGCAAATAATTCGATTCGGGACGGGTCCAGGATTAAAGTTTTAAACCCCTCCCAAAGGTGATATTGGAGAGATTCGAACACATGCTCTCATCCTCACCTGCTTAGCTCCCATGCACTAACTGAACTACCACCGTTTGGTATAAATACTCATCTCATCATGAAAATAAAAACTAACTTAATTATAGGAATGTCATTTTCCTAAGAAAATTATTCTTTTTAAAGCTTGTACTAAACATAAGTATATTATATTCCCGAATTTATTTTTTTCAATATTTTTTTTTTACAATCCTCAATAGTCAATACAAACGCGCTCTAAGAGCTGTTTGGATCCTCTTGTTTTTAAGCTAGAAGCTACTTATAAGCTAACGCTAAAAAAATAACTTAAAAAAAGAAGGTAAAAGCTATTTGAAAATTACGTAAAATTTTTAGCTTAAAAATTAATTAAAAGTACATATTTTAAGAAAATTATCTTTTTTTTTAGAAATACAATGAAAACTAAAGCAACATAAAAAAAAGCCCTATACTGGGCACAATCTTGGGAGACTAACTCCTCTTAAGTCATTACGAAGCAATTCCAAACAAGCCGTTGGAGGGACATCCAGCACAATCAGCTGTCCATCCTGATGAGGTGCATGAGTAGCAAGCCAATCAGCAACAAAATTGCCTTCTCTATAAGTATGACTAAGCTGAATAATCCAGTCTCTTTGAAGCATGCTACGAGCTCGGATGATTAAAGCAGAAAGAGGATGACTTACGTCACACCCTTTTCTTATAAATTCCAAAGCCACCTTGGAGTCACCCTCCACAAAGACTCTCCTAAATCCCTTATGCCAAGTCAGATCCATACCTGTCAAGAACCCCCAAATTTCCGCTGAAGTAGAAGTACCACTCCCAAGGAATTTTGTAAAACCAGTTAACCAGTTCCCAGCAGCATCCCTTATGACTCCACCACATGCAGTCCTTTGCCCACTGTCTATACTGGAACCATCCACATTAAGTTTAACATAACCCTCAGAGGGAAAATTCCAGTGAATAAGACGCTCCTCTCTTCTAAGCTCCTGATGACCAATCTTAATAAGGGTTTCATTAGACAATTGAATATTACCACAAGTATAGGTAATGCGCCTAATGAGACCATACTTCGAGGTGATAGTTTGATCAAAGATCGCCTTATTTCTTTCCCCCCACAAACACCAAGCTATCACCCCAAAATACAAAGGCCAAGTTCGATCAGTTTGAAACGGACCTTTTAATCCTAGATTTGTCTGAATCCATAGGTGAAGATCCATGGAGAAAAAGTCACTACGGTTATCAGAAGGAACCCAATGCTCCCATAATTCCCTGGCACCAGGACAATCTCTAATGGCATGTAAACTATCCTCAAGATTATAATGACATCTCAGACACCCTGCATCTGTAGCCATGTGACGATGCACTCTATGAACATTAGTTAAAAGAGAACCTCTGTAGAGAAGCCATAAGAATTGTCTAATACGTTCAGGACCAGGCCAAGCCCAAATTACCTTCCAAATCCTATCCTGATGATAATGCGAGGTACCCATGAGATAGTTATAAGCTGATTTCACTGAAAAAAATCCCATCTTGGCTACCTGCCCAAATAACACGGTCCGGAGAAGGATCCATTGTAGGAGGGAGCACACTACGAATCTTGTCTAATACTGAAGTAGGAAGAAGGTGCTGAAATAAAGGCCAGTCCCAATTACCATAACAAGTTACAAATTGAGACGTAGACCAATGAGTCATAATAGGAGGAGGTTGAACGGCCAGAGAAACAAGTTGAGGACATCCTGGCACCCACGAATCCATCCAAAAAGACGTATGAACCCCATCCCCTAAAATGATACGAGAATTCTCTAGAGTTTGAGGCCAATACTTAACAATAGCCTTCCATAAACCAGAATCATTTGCGGAAGCCGAGATACTTGGAATGAGCCTTTCCTCCACCTTATACTTGCTACAAAGGACCCGAACCCATAACGAATTACGATCAGTCATGATTCGGTGACCTAGCTTCATGATAAAAGCCATATTATTCTCTTTAATTTTACGAAAACTAAACCCCCCTACATTCTTCGGCAAACAGACCGTCTCCCAAGAAACCAGGTGAGCTTTCCTTCGTTCAGAAGTTGATCCCCAAATGAAATTCCTAGTTACACTCTCAATACGATCACACGTACCACTAGGAATAATACAAGTTTGCATAGGATATTGAGGAATTGCAGTAAGAACTGACCTAGCCAAAGTTGATCTTCCTGCCAATGAAAGAGTACGTTGATTCCAGGCATTTAAACGAGCTTGCATCCGATTTAAGATATAGCCAAAAGTACTCTTTGTAACACGGCTATGACGAAGAGGAATACCCAAGTATTTACCCAAGTCATTTGTAGGAGAGTAGCCCATCAACTGGCTTAGATTCTGCACTCGGGTATGATTAACGTTTCTGGAGAAGAAGACTTTTGTTTTTTCCTTGCTAACCTTCTCACCAGAGCACCTGCAAAAACAATCAAGAATCTTATTAATAATAACAGCTTGCCCTTCTGTGGCTTCTGTAAAGAGCAGAAGATCATCTGCAAAAAATAGATGGGAAAACAGTGGTCCCCTTCTATTCAATCTGATAGGCTTCCAAACGTCCTCTTGAACTGCTACATTAATCAAATGAGCAAGTCTTTCCATGCAAAGGATGAAAAGATAAGGAGACAAAGGATCTCCTTGACGAAGACCTTGATTAGGAGAAAATTCTGTCGTAGTTGATCCATTCCATAACAAATTCATTGTATATGACGAGACACAACACATGATCAGAGAAATAATATTCTCAGGCAAACCAACATCCACAAGCGTGTCTTTCAGAAACTCCCAAGAAATCTTGTCATAAGCCTTTTCTAAATCAACTTTGACAGTCATCCAACCCTTATCTCCTCTCTTTTTATTCATGGAATGGATGATTTCCTGAGCCACAATGATATTATCCGCTCCTTGTCTACCCTTAATAAAACCACATTGATTAGGCATAACCAAGTGAGCCATATGAAATTTCAGCCTATTAGCCACAATCTTAGTTACAGTCTTGTAAATAACATTACAAAGGCTAATAGGTCTGAAATCTCTAAGTAATTCAGGCACATCAATCTTAGGAATCAGACAAATCAAAGTTTGGTTAACCTCTTTTATATTATCCGGAAGAAGGAACACACCTTTCCCAAAAGAGATAACTGACTCACCCACCTTATCCCACTGAGATTGAAAGAAAAGAGCATTAAGCCCATCCTTCCCAGGCGACTTGTATGGACCAAAAGAGAAGACTACATCTCTGATCTCCTTACTGTTTGGCATAATACTCATCGTGTCTAAAGCATGCGCTTCAATAACTGGAAAAAAGCCACGAACTGGAAAAGCCGGTTTAGGTAATGGATCTTTTGTGTACAGATTTTCAAAGAAAGAAACAGCCATTTCCATTAAAACCTGTTGATCACCAATCCAAACTCCCTCAGAGTTTTTCAACGTATCTATGCGATTCCTCCTACGTCTGGCAACCGTCACAGAATGAAAGAAACGCGAGTTCCTATCTCCAAGAGCAAACCAATTCAATTTCGATCTTTGAAACCAAGTAATTTTCTCTTGAAGATAAATCTTGTCTAGTTCCCTCCATAGATCCTTTTGCAACATCTCAAGGCTATGACTGTACTGATAACTAAGACATCTATCAATACCTCTAATCCTTGCATGCAAATCATTCTTTCTTTTCAGAGCAATCCTATAAACATTTCTATGCCATTCCGAAGCATTAATCCGAAATGTCTCCATAACATGCATCCAGTTTACATTGTTTGACCAACATCCATTAACCACCTCATGAAAAGTGCTCTCTGTTAACCAGGACGCTAGAAAACGGAAAGGACGCTCCCCTCTCGGATAAATAGCAGGTTGACCTTCCCATAATAACACTGGTCGATGATCTGAGCCAAAGAAAGGCAAGTTGAAAGCCACACGGTTAGGGAAAACCAAGTTCCAATTATCATTAGCGCAAACCCTATCAAGACGTTCCTGAAGATTTCTTCTTTGCCAAGTGAAAATAGGACCTTGATTGCCAATGTCAGACAAGCTACATTCATCTAAACAATCACGAAATTCCCTCATGCTATTCCAGTTATGCCCATTACCACCTAGCTTCTCATACTCATACAAATAAGTGTTAAAATCACCTGCTATCCCCCAAGCTGCATTCCTCATGGACTGATCAAACAGTGAAGACAGAATTTCCCACAGCTGAATACGTTCCTGTCTTCGCAGACTTGCATAAATAAAAGTCATGAACTCCTCTCTATTTTCTTTTACCCAACAAATTTTAGTATGGACAAGTTGGTGATGAGAAAAAAGAACATCCACTGAAACTTCATCAGTGTTCCAAAGCACCCAAATACCGCCAGAAAAACCAACAGCATCACGATGAAAGTGACCAGAAAAACCAAGATGCCGAATAGCTCTATCCGCCATAACACCACTCAATCTGGTTTCTAACAAAGCCATAACTTTAATACTGTATCTATGAGAAAGATCCCGAATTAGAGGCGGAAAACTCCTTTTCCCAGCCCCTCTACAATTCCAGGTCAAAATATTCATAAAAACAATCTTAAATTTATCCGAACAGAAACCGGCCCTAAGAAAGAGCATTGGTATAGACCGAAGTCGCACCCAAAACGTCCAAATTATCCAAAGGGATAGAATCCTTGTTAGTTTGATAAAAATTCCTCATTAACGTAAGAGCATCTGGTGGTCTTCCATGTTTACCTCCATTATCCAAGCCACTAGAAGAAGGAAGAGTCACTTGCTGATCATTAACCACATGAGACGTCTTCCTCTGGAATTTAGATAAAGAAGGGTGCAAGACAATTTGTCTATCTTGGAAATCCTCCGACATATTCTTCTGAGAATCAAGTTTAAAATTATTCTTTTGAGATTCTGCACCTTTTGAAGCATTTAATCTGCCTTTGCTAATATTAGCATTCTGGACCAGCTGATGAACTTTAGCAGATGATGTAGTTGCTTTCTTCTTTTGGTTCTCTTTGAATTTTACTCCTTGACTTTGGACCTCTTTTCTCGACTTGCCCGCGGATAGGTTAGCAGATGGAGAAACTGTTTCCATTTGAATATCCTTTTTCACCAACGGTTCTTCATTATGAGCAATTAATTCCCTATGATTAATTCGTGTCAGACCAGATTCAATGCTGATTGAATCAATCACTGGAGAATCAGAAATAATTAAGATATTATTATCCTTTTGAGCCAACTCAACAATAGCTTGAAATCTTGAACCTGATTGAATGACCTGTCTGTGATTAGGATGAGAATTGGAAACTGCCTTATTACGTAACGCTGCATTATTAACAACGCCAACTTGTCTCCTACCCGATGGTAATGATTCCTCCTTTGATTGTGCTATGCTCCTTGATTCCTCCTTTGATTGTGCTATGCTCCTTGATCGACGGTTACGCTGCACTAGCATCCAATTCCCAAACGGTTCCTCCTTCGCCAGAACAGAATCTTTTTCCGGCTGCTTATGCACCACCGAGTCAGAAACTTCAGGAGAATAAGCCGTAGTATCTTGTTGAAGATTACTATGGGAACACTGATCCCTTCTATGCCCATACTTTCCACAAGCAAAACAAACTAAGTGGAGACCCTCATATCCAACATGGAAGATACGATCAGCAATCCGGAATTTGGACAAAAAGCCTTTCCTAAGATCAACTTCGACACAAATTCTAGCAAACTTTGCTCTCTCTGTAATATCACCTTCACCAGAATCACGTTTCCTGATAGAGTTCCTATCAATTTTCAATGTGCGACCAAAAATACTACCTATATCCCACAAATGATGAGAGGTATAGAATTCAATAGGAAGTCCTGGAATACGAATCCAAACTGCCAGCTTTCTGATCTCATCATCATAAGGATTAAAAAATGGACGCCACCGTTGAACTACCACATAATGATCAGCTATGATCCAAGGACCATCCTCCAAAACATGAGAGTAATCATTCTTATTTGAAAATCGGAACAAAAAGTAGTCATTCTCCATATCAATGAACTCATATGTGCCTGAGATATTCCACATTCTCAGTAAACGATTGAGTAAGAATCTAACTCCAACTTTCTTCCCCAGAAGTTTCACAATCACTGCCTGTCTCCAAGGTCTGCGACCTTCTAAATGCAAGGCTTTTGGAAAAGAGTACGTTGGGCAAAGAGGATCCACCTCACCATCAACCGTAACAAAGACCTCATCCCCTTCTTCTTCGTCCTCTTCCTTACGTAGTTTTTCTACCCAATCTTCCTCATCGCTATCAGCAACATGGGGTCCTCCATTAAAACCAAGAAGAGAATCTTTATATGACACCAACTTCCTGTTAGATGAATCACCTGACTCTTCCTTCTTTTTTCCCCCGTTGCTAGTCACATTCACCTGGATATCCTCCTCTGCCATGTGATCATCCATAGGTTGATCTTCCATAGCAGGGCCTTTAGGTTTTTTTGTGCTTCGATGGAGAAGATCTTCCTCCTCCGTCGTAGCATCTCTCGCCTCCTTGCCGGTTTCTCTCTCTTCACTCATCTCTAACACAATAAAAAACTCAGAGTTTCTAACCAAAAAAACCGAAGCCTCCTAGTTCTTTCCGAATCAACACGAAACGCAATCTGCAAAATAATTTTTCTACACTCTACAATGCTGTTATATTTCTTTAAGAAAATTATCTGTGTCTATCTTTATCACTTTTCATTTTTAGAAAAGACACACAATTCAAGAAAAAATAAATAAGAGATTAAAAAAGACTTCTCCTGTGAAAATTTTAGTTTTTGGTTTTTTTTCTTCGTTATAAAAAAAATATCTTTTCGTTACAAGAGCTTTTCCTATGTTTCACGTAGCTTACGCTTATATAATGGTGGAAATGAAATGAGAAACGGTTTCTCATGTAGCGAGTAGTGACGCTTCAAATTGTGTGCAAAGTTTTACAAAGCAAGAAGCTGCATTTACAATACAACTTTACAACCTTCCCAGAGAAAAATTCTCACTTTTCTCTCTTCAACTTCTGGGGTTAGTTTGTTTGTTTTGACTTTTTCTTTCTGATCTTGACTTCATTGCAATGTCCATTGTATTCACCTGTTATGCAAAAGGCCTTCTTCTTTGGCTTCCCAGAAATTTTCTTGCTTGCATGAATCTCCCGCACATTCTTTCTTTTTTGCTTCTTCCCTCATGCCAAAGCTCTATCTGCACAAAATCTGTAAATCTTGAACGCTTTGCTTTCATTATTTTGTATGGCTTTGTTGTATGAGTTTCTTTGGATTGTGGAAACACACTCTATTCTTGCCACGCTGAAATGGTTTGTGTCACATTGCCATATTTGAACTGTCATAGGAGATTTTAGTCACAATTCTGTTTCTTCCTTCCACATTTAGCTTAAATCCAGGCAAAGCTAGAATTTTATTTCTTGTTCTTGGCTTTGATCTCCCATTTTGTTTTTACAAAAAAGTAAAGAATATATCGTTTTGTTTTTTATGATTTGGTTGCCTTATTTCTCAATGATGGTTCTTCCTCCTCTTTGAATGTCAAAAGAGTATAGAATCTGAGTTTTAAGATGTTTAGCCCACTAGCTAATTGCAGAGTGACCTTTTTCAGAGAGAAAGTGAAACAAGATTAAGTCTCTTCGGGAATGAATTCTTATCTTTTGCGTTGTTATTTTTTCCCCCTTGATGTGATAATCAAAACCACTTAAATCATAGGTTTGAAATTTTCAAAACTCATCATTTATCTCCAACGATGAATTTTCATAATCATATACTTATTTGGTGTGATTTCGGGAACCTTTATGGGTGAATCACAGTCATTTGGATAAAAAGACTGATGCATGAGTTTCTAAACATCTGCTTTTGGAAATCCATAAAATGATGCAAGTTTGAAATCATTAGGAAAATTTTTCTTGCTTTAAAGTGTCACCAAATAAGGAATTTAGCAGTTCATGAGCATGTTTTAAATTTATGTTAATTTTATCTCATTAATTTTATGATAACTTAACTGCAGGATTTTGATCATTACTACTGCAATTACAATACTCTTTGTCGCCATTAAGATTTTGGGAGATATCTTCCTTCCCCATGTATCAGTCTCTCGACGGAAGTTTTAGAAGTGCAGAAGCACTATGTACTGTGGCAGAAGATGATGAGGAAGAATTTGTTTTCTCAAAGTTATCTGACAAGCCAAGGCCTCGAATTATAGGAAAAGCCAAATCATGTGAAGAAAGATCAATTCTTGAACGATCCAAAGGGTTTTCTCCACAGCACTTGTCTAAAAGTGCTGAAAACTCTTCTCAACCGGTAGAGCATCATGATAATGCTGTTTCTCTTCTGCAAAAATCAGATATGAATACCCCAGTATCACTGATATCGGATCCACATCCAATAATGTCTGAAGGGTGGGAAGCTCTAAGGCGTTCCTTGGTATATTTTCGTGGTCAGCCAGTTGGTACATTTGCTGCTATGGATAATTCTGATGAGAAACTTAATTATGACCAGGTGCCAGGATGTTGTCATCTCCTAATTGCATCTATTTCTTGTATTTCTTTTTTTGTTTTTGTTTGGAGGGTGTGGTTTGCAAAATTTAGTAAACTTTTGTGTAATATACTAGGTGATGATAGTAAGATTCTGAAAATGTGTTGGTTAGATTTATTTTTCTCTTCCTTCTCCAAATATTGACCAAGTGTGCACACCCAAATACACCATAGACACTTGAATTTGGTTACTTCATTACAATAAAGCCATGGTTTTCATGGATATATATCAAATCGAGAAACACAAGCTAGAATATAGCTAAGCAGATTACTTTTTTCCCCCTCCCTTTTCCTACTTGCATTGTCAAGCTAGGTCAGTGGCTTTGATCATTATGTATATATTATCATATTTACCCCTTTGAGTTGCTATGGAGAGTTAACCCGAGGTACTATATTTGTGTGTAGGTATTTGTAAGAGACTTTGTCCCAAGTGCTTTGGCATTTCTGATGAATGGTGAACCTGACATTGTTAAAAACTTTATCTTAAAGACCCTTCGCCTTCAATCATGGAAGAAAAAGATTGATAGGTTCCAGCTAGCAGAAGGAGTAATGCCAGCTAGTTTTAAAGTGTTGCATGATCAAAAAAGAAACCATGAGACCCTGAAAGCAGATTTTGGTGAGAGTGCAATAGGCAGGGTTGCTCCTGTCGATTCTGGATTTTGGTGGATTATATTACTTCGTGCATACACAAAGTCCACAGGAGACACTTCCTTGGCTGAACTGCCTGAATGTCAGAATGGTATGCACTTGATTCTGAATTTATGCCTTTCAGAGGGATTTGACACGTTTCCAACTCTTCTATGTGCTGATGGATGCTGTATGATTGATCGTAGAATGGTGAGTTTTTAGAAATCTATGAGAACTAGACCATCATATTTTGCTTTGTCTAGAAACTAAAAATAAGGCATTACTTGTAGGTTAAGATGATTGTTCTAGTTCTAGGTTTCTCCAGCTTAGTAGATTTAAATTTTAAAGAATTTAATTCAATTTAAAAATCAAGAACAAATCCATTTTTGTTCTTTCCCTTCCCTTTCCATTAAAAGAAAAAAAAAATCCAAACACAGTTTCATTGTTTCATATTTTTCATTTTCTGACCTACGGTTTCAGGGTGTTTATGGGTATCCAATTGAAATTCAAGCACTTTTCTTCATGGCTTTAAGATGTGCCTTGCAATTGCTTAAGCAAGATGCTGAAGGGAAAGAGTTCATGGAAAGAATTGTCAAACGCTTGCATGCCTTAAGCTATCATCTGAGAAGCTATTTTTGGTTAGATTTGAAGCAACTTAACGATGTATATCGCTACAAGACAGAAGAGTACTCGCATACTGCAGTCAACAAGTTCAATGTCATTCCTGATTCTCTACCTGATTGGATTTTTGATTTCATGCCTCTTCATGGTGGTTACTTTATTGGGAATGTTAGTCCTGCTAGGATGGATTTCCGCTGGTTTTGCCTTGGTAATTGCATTGCAATTTTGTCCAGCTTGGCTACTCCTGAGCAATCCACTGCAATCATGGATCTCATTGAATCAAGGTGGCAGGAATTAATTGGAGAAATGCCTGTAAAAGTTTGTTATCCAGCCCTTGAAAACCATGAATGGAGGATCATAACAGGATGTGATCCAAAAAATACTAGATGGAGTTACCACAATGGAGGATCTTGGCCAGGTATTCTTCTTCCCTTAGGTTCAATTTGCATAAAACTACGTTACAATTCTGAATTTCCAGCAACTAGTGAACATAAGTCTTTTATTGCATGTTATTTAATTAGGCACAGAATTGAGATACTTGTAGAGTCTTTGTTTGTTTATTTAAATTTTATATTAGTGTGAAAACATCTCATGAGGTAATTTGAGACAATTCTGAGATACATTTTGGATATTGTGGTGGTGGTTACAGTTCTTTTATGGCTCCTTGCCGCGGCTTCTATCAAGACTGGAAGACCCCAAATTGCAAAACGTGCCCTTGACATTGCTGAAACAAGATTGGTGAAGGACAATTGGCCTGAATATTATGATGGAAAGCTTGGTAGATACATTGGGAAGCAGGCCTGTAAATGCCAAACTTGGTCCATTGCTGGTTACTTGGTGGCTAGGATGATGCTGGATGATCCATCACATTTGGGTATGGTGGCACTTGAAGAAGATAAACACCTAAGGCCTGTACTTAGAAGATCAAAATCATGGACTTTGTAAGTTGATTTTGACCTGCAATGGTAAAAAGGAAGAAGGGCAAAGGGGGTGGGTGAACACTAACAAGAAGCTCCAAGTCTTTGTTTCATGTGTCTAGTTTCCTAGTATTCTTTTTGTGAGATGCGTTATGCCATGCATCGCTTACTGCTTTGTGCCAAAGTTGAAGTTCTTAGATAATCGTTAATTCTTTCCTAGTGGATGATATGTACAGCTAGATTCAAAAAATCAAATGCCATGTTACAATTTAGATGAGATTCTATTTTTGTTGATAGTTGGCGCCATCAAACTGCAACGATAAAATTCAATGGATAATCATCCATTACTCCATCTAATGCCTTATATCAAGTCTCAATCCTTTGTAGCATTGTGATTATGTGTCTAGATATCTTACATAATAGGTACTGATTAAATATAAGAGGAATGCTATATCCTATGAAATTTTATCTGGGAATCCATTCACGAATGCAATGTATCATTCATCACATCAGTTTTTTTTTTTTTAATATAATACTCAAATTAAAATGAGTGTGGGATGAGATATAAAGAATAAATAAAATTCGTTAAAATAATACTCATTTTCAATTTGATATCTATATAAAAAATAATAATCCAATTTAGTTTTGTATGTATGGTTATTTTCACTTTGGTCTTATTATACTCTTTATTGGATTTTCAAAACAATGAAGTCTAAAGACTAAATTAAAATGACTGTGGGATAAGATATATTCTATTTTTAATCCTATATGTGACTAGTATTTTTAATTTAAGTTTTGTACTTTATAATATTTTTTTATAAGTTACTTCATAATTATTTAATGTCGATCTTATAATGTCAATTACAATAAATAATGAGGACGATGTTATATATATAGAGTTAATTAAAAAATAATAATAATACAAACTAAATTAAAAATTGTGTCATATCAATATCAATATCACACTTATCCTAAATTAGAGGTCATGAGTCTAAATGAAAGTAAGAAAAAAATGAGAGAAGTAAAAAAGAAAAAAAAAATACATGAAAAAATAGCTAAAAAAAGCCATCAATATGTTTCCGCCATTTTGTCCTAGAGCACAACGAAAAAATATATTTTAACTACATAAATTCAAAGATGAAAAAAGAAACTCAACAAAAATTATTTTGTTAAAATGCTCATTTCTCTAACTGTCAAAAAGAAAAAAGACAATTAATCAACTATCTAGTTGTGCCTCGTATTAGAAGAGATCCATTAAAGGAAAGCTTAAGAAAATGAGAGAAAGCGAGAGAAAAGGTTGAGAGAGAAAGAGATGAAGAGAAAGCATTATTCTATTGAATCTGAACCAAATAAATCATTATTACAGAGAGAGAAATGAAGCTAACATTTATATACTAAATGGCTAACAGCTGTAACAGTGGCTAACAGCTGTAACAGCTTATGGTTGACAGCTGTAACAACTTATACAAATAAGTAGCTGTGACTAAAGTAAAGAGTTCTACTGTATATACACTAATATTCCCCCTTCAAACTTAAGTGGGTTGGATCAGGAGAGCATGATCCAAGACCTTGAGTTTGTCTTTTAATTCTGTAAACCTTGCAGCAGAGAGAGGTTTAGTAAATGTATCAGCAACTTGAAGAGAAGAAGGTATGTGAAGGACATCAAGAGACTTTGCCAAGACTTTTTCACGAACAAAGAACAGATCAAGCTCCATATGTTTCGTTCTTGAGTGTAGAACAGGATTGTGAGCTAAGGCTACTGTGCTTTGATTATCACAGTATATAATAGGAGTTTTGCTTGACACATGAAGTTCTTGCAATAGTGTCTGAACCCACAAAATTTCTGCTGCAGTGAGAGCTAGGCTACGATACTCTGCCTCAGCACTAGATCTTGCCACTACAGACTGCTTCTTGGACCACCAGGAAATGGGATTGGAACCAAGGAATAAGCAAGCACCTGATGTGGATCTTCTATCATCTGGATCAGCCCCCCAATCTGCATCACAGAACCCAACAAGAGAGAGAGGCTGGTGTGGTGAGGCTGGATGAAATAGAAGACCATGAGACAATGTTCCCTTGAGATAATGCAAAATCCTTTTGACAATCTTCCAATGTTCTTCCAATGGTTGGGACATAAACTGGCAAACTTTATTTACGGTAAAGGCAATTTCTGGCCTTGTTAAGGTAACATACTGCAAGGCACCAACTATTGATCTGTAGAGGAAGGGATCAGCAACATAGTTCCCCCCATGCTTGCTTAGTTTGCAGCCACTAGGCATAGGAGTAGAGATACCTTTTGCATCTGACATTCCAGCTTTGCACAGTAAGTCTTTCACATATTTACCTTGAGATAACAGAAGTCTCCCATGAGAAAGAGGCTTAACTTCTATACCCAGAAAATAATCCAAGGTTCCTAACTGTTTTAGAGCAAAGTGAGAGTTCATTTGATCAGTGATCTGTTGAATTAGAGCTGAGTTGTTTCCAGTGATGATGATATCATCCACATAGACTAATACATATATGCAGCTCCCATTAGAGTGAATAATGAATAAAGAGGGATCACACTTGCTAGAGTAAAAACCAAGTTGTCGAAGAGTAGTTCCAAACTTTTCAAACCATGCACGAGGGGCTTGTTTTAGCCCATAAAGAGCTTTGTGTAATCTGCATACCAGATTCTTATTCTCTGTTTCAAATCCAGGGGGTTGTGTCATGTAGACCTCTTCGACAAGCTCTCCATTAAGGAAAGCATTGTTGACATCGAGTTGTTTTAAGGGCCAGCCATAAGAGAGAGCTAGAGTGAGAATAATTCTGATTGTGGTGGGTTTAACAACTGGTGAGAAAGTCTCATTGTAATCATAGCCCTGCTGTTGATGAAAGCCTTTGGCAACAAGCCTGGCTTTGTATTTGTTAACTGTTCCGTCAGAATTTTCCTTGATGCGAAAGACCCATTTACACCCAATAGCCTTCCTGCCATGTGGTAAAGGAACAAGAGACCAGGTGTGGTTAGATTGCAAAGCATCATATTCTAATTGCATTGCCTTAAACCAGTGAGGACTAGTCAAGGCTCCCTTAACTGATGTGGGTTCTGAATGAGTGAGGAGAACAAGATTTCTGGTTGCAGCCTTAGAGCGTGTGATAATAGAGTGTGTTGGAGAGGGAGGGTGCAGAGGACCTGATGGGACATACTCAGAGGAACATAATTCAGGACCAGAACTAGAGCTGGTGTTTTGACTGGAAACATTAGGAGTGTGAACAGAAGGTGATGGGGAAGAAGGTAAATGTGTGGCTGAATTCGAGAAATGACCAGACTGGTGTGTAGTGTTTGCTGACAGAGAAATGTTGGAGGAGTCAGAAGATGGATCACTGTGAGGAACAGATGTTGATGAGGAATTAATAGATGATGTTGAATTAGTGGTGAGGCTGGTTGGACAAGTTTGTGGAAGGAAAATAGTTAGAGGAACAGAAGTAGAAGTAGAGGTAGACTGGTGCAAAACAGAAGAAGTTTTGTTAGTATGCCATTCTGTGTAAGGAAACTTGTATTCATTGAATAGGACATCTTTAGATATAAATATTCTGTTTTCTGGACTCAAGCAAATATAGCCTTTATGATTGATAGAGTAACCAAGAAAAATGCACTCTTGAGATCTAAACTCAAGCTTATGTTTGTTGTAAGGTCTTAGAAAAGGGAAACAAGCACAGCCAAAGGTTCTAAGAAAGCTGTAATCAGGTTGTTGATGGTGCAACTTAATGTGAGGGATTTCAAATTTGATAGCAGAGGAAGGAAGTCTGTTTATAAGGTAAGTAGCTGTGGTAAAGGCATAGTCCCAGTATTGCATTGGAAGAGATGAATGAGCTAAGAGGGCTAGACCAGTCTCTACAATATGTCTGTGTTTTCTTTCAACAACACCATTTTGGTGAGAAGTATGTGGGCAAGTGATTCGATGAGCTATTCCTTGCAAGTTAAGATATTGAGTAAAGGCTCTAAACTCCCCTCCCCAATCTGTTTGTAAAGCTTTTAGAGGGAGTTGGAACTGATTGGTCACCATGGCATGAAATTGTTTGAAAATGCTTATTGCATCTGATTTTTGCTTTATTGGATAAAGCCATGTGTACCTAGTGCAGGCATCAACGAATGAGATATAATAAGCATTGCCTAGAGTGGATTTAAGAGGTGATGGTCCCCACAAGTCACTGAAAACAAGAGTGAATGGCTCTTTGTATTCTGTATGAGATGGTAAAGAATGTTGTCTATGAGACTTTGCACAACAACAAGAAGGACAGAATTCAGCCAATTTATTATTGATGTGTATATTACAAGATTTGAGTACACTTTTAAGGGAATTAAAGTGGGGATGTCCCAGCCTATAATGCCATAAGGAATACAAAGAGCTAGAAGTGCTACATATATCAGAAACAGTTCTAGAACAATGACTATGTGTTTTGCTATTTGGACTAACAGCATTAACAACATTAACAGACTTGTTGATAGTCGAGGACACAGGAGAGCTAGCACAGATGTTACTGGTTGCAGAAGTATGACTTTTGGAGAGCTTCAACTTTGGAAAATAGTACAACCCATCAGAACCCACTGCACCTTGAAGGAGGACTTTATGTGAAACCTGGCATTTTACAAAACACACATCAGAATGAAACTCAAAGAAAACTGAGTTGTCTTTAGCAAATTTGCTAACACTGATAAGATTTTTAGTAATGGAGGGAACCAAAAGTAAATTCTGAAGGTGCAGGTGAGTGTTAGAGTCAAAAGGAGATTGAAAAGAGGAGGAACCAGTAGCTGTTATAGGAAGACCTTGTCCATTTCCAATCAGAACATGATCAGTACCACTAAGTTGCTGGCCTTGCATAATATTTTGAGATGTACCAGTTACATGACTTGATGCACCAGAATCTGGTAACCATTCAACCAGAGGGGGAGAACTACATGTGGAAGGTAGACTAGAAGGAGCAGCAAAGTATGCTTGAGGCTGAGACTGACTTGTTGGTCTTGTATACTGGAAAGATCTCATTGGTTGAGATTGATGGTGTTGATACTGGAAGGACCTCACTGGTTGAGGTGGTTGATGAACAAAGTAGTGAGGATAAGGAGTGTTTTGTGGTGGAGGTAGATTCGGAACAAAATTCTCTTCAAATCAATGCCAACAATCTCTAACATCATGTCCAAATTTATAGCAAAGTTGACAGTGGACATGTGTTCTGGTGCCTCGTCCTCTTCCACGACCAGACCTTCCACCTGAACGTCCTCGTCCTCTATTCTGACCACTTGAGGTGTGGAACTGACTGAAGTTTTGATGCTCTGTTCGACTCTGTTTTCTGGTTTCAGAAACAGAGTCTTCTTCTTCATCTATAACTTCTCGATCTGAGCTTGGAAGGCGCTGAGTGAGATTTATAGTTGCTCCTTCAGTCAACAGAGTATCGTTTTGCTTGATTAACAACTGTTCATGAGCTAGTAACTCCACTGTTAGATCTGCAATAGTGCAGTCTCGTTCTCGTCCGTGTATCATCATAACGAAAGAAGTATACTCTGATGGTAATCCTTCAAGAATAGTCTCAGTGTGCTCCTCAATAGAAATAGGCTTCCCAATCGACTTGAGCGAGTCACATAGTGTTTTGATACGTGTTAAGTATTCTTTAATAGTCTTCGAGCCTTTCTTCATAGTTTTCAACTCAGATCTGAGTTGACGAACTCGAGACTTCATGACTCCATGAAAAAGTTTGTGAATATTGTCCCAGGCCTCAAAGGAGTGCTTCACAGGTAGAATATCATTTACAGTAGACTCAGAAATAGTGGATAGGAGCCATGTAAGTAGCATCTGATCTTGATTGAGCCAATCGACATAAGCGGAGTTCAGAATATCATTCTCTCTGTCTTCGTCTGAAACAAACTTGAGAGGAATTTTTGGATTAACAAGAAAACGATGCAATTGGTGTGAAGTAATTACCGGTTCAATGATCTGATTCCAGAAAAGGTAATTATCTTCGGTAAGTTTTGCAGAAATTTGAAGATTGAAGAGAGAAGCTGTCTTGATTTTCATTGAAGTGGACTTTTGTTGAGATCTGGATCTATGTTGAGATCTGGATCTAGGTTGTGATGCGTTCGAGTTGTCAGAAGCGTTCGAATCAGAGTCGGAAGCGGAAGACATGATAGAGATCTAAACGGATCAGGCCCTCAGAGAGAGCTCTGATACCATATTAGAAGAGATCCATTAAAGGAAAGCTTAAGAAAATGAGAGAAAGCGAGAGAAAGGTTGAGAGAGAAAGAGATGAAGAGAAAGCATTATTCTATTGAATCTGAACCAAATGAATCATTATTACAGAGAGAGAAATGAAGCTAACATTTATATACTAAATGGCTAACAGCTGTAACAGTGGCTAACAGCTGTAACAGCTTATGGTTGACAGCTGTAACAACTTATACAAATAAGTAGCTGTGACTAAAGTAAAGAGTTCTACTGTATATACACTAATACCTCGTAGAATTAATTACTGATTAATTTGAGATGGGGTCATAATTATTTAATTACTGGTTTGTTAATTGAGTTGTACACTCTTTCATAAGTCTCAAATGTCTGGGGGACTCGAAGTCGTGTGCTTACCGTTTGGTCGAGTATTTGGGACTCGAATAAGAAGACCTGCGGCTAAGTGGGTCTTGTTTGGTCACGTGGTACAGTATCCTTATCAGATATAATATGATAAAAATTTATCAGCTGATTCTAGCGGCTTCAAAATCTACAATGTTTGATAGCATGAATCATTACGCTACATCAGTGCTCAACCTAGAATTTTTTTTTTATGTTCGCATATTTAGTGATCGGGGTTTGAGGGAAGTGTTTTTCAAATTTTTTTTAAAGAAAGTTTAAATCAATGTTTTATGTACAAGGTTATAAACTCGCTCATAATATAGTTACTTCCGTAACAAGTTGCAGATAATAGTTTGATCAATCATTTTCCCCCTAAATCTTATCAATCCTCCAAAACAAATATGAGAATATACTCTAATACATTAATACATCAGCCAATAGCGGACTTAGGTGATTGCATGTGTCTGCACTTGCAGACACAAAATTGGGGGGGGGGGGGGATTTGGCTTTTTGACCTTTTTACCCTTTATTAATTAATTAATAACCATTTTACCCCTGATTCGAAACTATCTATCAATTTGCCTCTCTTTAATCGATTAACTTGAAGATTTAATCGATTAAATAATAAAAACTGCCAAAAATGATTGACTTGAAGATTTAATCAATTAAATCTTCAAGTTAATCGATTAAATCTCCCAACAGGCAATAAATGTCAAATCTCCTCCATAAACAAAAGCAAATTCTATGCATATTTTTTCTTCTAAAATTCAGCTACTTATTCTGTCAAATTATTTTCTTTTAATTTTTTTTTAGTATAACCTGGAAGGTATTCTCATTCAACTTCCTCAAGTCACCTTGTCCTCGAAGTATGGCCCAAAGGCTACCTCTCATTGGAACAAGGGGTGCATTGAGCTTCGCTACTGGGGGAAGAATGTGACTAATTCCCTCTTCAAGGAGAGAGGCAGGTTCTCTGGCCTTCAATTTTTTTTCAATAATTTGCGTGAAACATGGTTTGAACCATGATCCAAGAATTTTTATGTATATCACAATTTGTTCTTTTTTAAATCTCAACTGATTGTTATCAAAAAAAAAAAAAAAAAAATCTCAACTGATTTATTCTTACATATTATTAAAATATATTATTCTGAAAGCTTATTTGTTAACTCTCCGTTGAAAAGTACATATATTATTTATAAATTTTAAATTTTAAATTTAAATTGTTTTAAAATAATTACGAAACATTATTTATAATTTATTTTCCTTTTAATATGAATAAATTAATTATGTATACAATTTTTATAATATAAATTTTAAGGTGAGGTTGGAGTCCATTACGTTTAAAAGAAAATAAATAAAAGAACAAATTTTGACGATAAAAAAAAGCTATCAAATTGTAATTTTGTTTTTACGTGGTTCATAGTATCTATGATACGATACGATTCACAAACATATTGATCGGGATATTAGAAAGATACTATATATCATAGGCTTTAATGTTTCTAAAGTAAATGTAGATAAGTTATCTACATTCGCTCTAAAAACGATGTCGTTTTGAATTGAAAAATAAAAAAATTATAATAAAAAAGAGTATTATAACCCTGAAATAAATTATAATTACAAAAATACTTTGATTTCCGCCTCAAAACGATATTGTTTTGGGCTCAATATAGATAAGTTAGCTACATTGACAGTAGAAAAAGCGAACCCTATGTCATATGATACAAAATTAAATTAAAATTTATAATATTTAATTTGTAATTTAAATTCACAAGTCAATAAAAAAATCTATATAAATAAAGAAAATAATTTAATAAATATTTAAAATCTCTTCAATCTTTAAAATAAAAAAATAGAAGGGTGATGGATTAATTATGTCACTAATAAATTCTGATAAGGATAATAATAATAATAATATTAATCTTAATGACTAATGAGTAAGTGAATACTGATTTGCATTTCAATCAATTATATATTTTATTAATTGAATTTTTTTTTAAATTTAAATTTATATAATATTATTTTAAATTTTTTTATTTAGGACAAAATTATTTTATGTCGATGTAACAAAAACAAATCATTCACCATATCTTAACTATTGATTTCTGTGCATCTAATGGTAAAGATTTATTAGGTCTTATTAATTAATTATTATAACCTGTTCTGGAATTAACATTAATTGTCTAGGATAGCTAGTATTTGTATTTATGGAGCTTATGGTAAAGATGACAAGCAATGAGAAATCCTGCACCTTAGGCCAAAATCTGATGGTATGAACAAGGGGTATGTGTGTGGGTCACATACGGTGGATAAGATGTGCTTTGGGCACAAGTATGTAGGTTGTACCCATGGTGGCCAGGATAAGTTATCAAATGAGTTCCTAGATGAGTTATGAGATGATCTCCTTTGTTAGCTATAAGGGGTTATATATAGATGCATGCAATAGGAGATTCTGCCCCTAGTGGGTAGTTTGCAGGTGACTTAATGACATGATGCAATGCTTAATGGGTGGTTATTGGTAGTGGATGGAAGTTATGGGAGAGTGATGGAATGAGATGCTCCCTGTAGTGGGGATAGAAAATGGGTACCACATAAGCGGTCCATAACATAAGCCTCCCAGCCTGGCATTGCCCATGATTGGAATGCCGGGGTATAAGTAAAGCCCCCGCCTATCAAATAATGTTTAGTGTTGTGAAAAAGGATATGAATGCCGGGAAAACCCAGCTTGTGAATGCTTCCAAGTTCCAAGTTGCTTTATCGTGTTGCTTGTTGGTTGTAATCGTCTCCGGATTTGTAATTGCTTCCGAGTTTGAAGCTAAAGGTGGTTTCTCAGATTTGTCATTCTAAACCTGCAATAAATAAAAACAATAATAGTTTATTGCGTACCTGAGTAGGATGTGAGAACCTTATATGTTGATATCTTGTGTGCTGATTAGGATCATTCAGAATCAAATGTTCAACAATTTTTCCACTTCCAAGTATAAATTGAACAGGTGCCCAAGAGGTCTTTTAGTAAACCATTTTTATCCCGGAGAACCGGTATTTTTTTAGTAAACCACTAGTGAATTACCCGTCCCGATGCACAGGAAAAAAATTGGTTTGTTTGGCATGGTGGGTCGGCCCTCCGGGCCGAACTCATTTTGTCAGTATTTCAAAGGTCCCAAACAGTCATTTTTTTAAATAACAAAACAGTCATTCATTGTTACATTAAAAATATGAAAGAAAATAGGATAATAAAGGTCATATCTTTGAAGATAGATAAGGAAAAGAGACGCGAATAAACAGTCATTTTTTTTTGTCTTTACCTGTACCATACAACAAAGTTATATCTTTGAAGAAAGAACCCAATATACTATAGCAGTCTTTGAAATACTTCCTTGTAAACTATATTAAGGGTACTATTCGTAACGCAGCCATTTTCATCAAGTATCAATATCTTCAATCCATGCTTACTCTTTACTCTAGACAGTGCCACATATAATTGCCCATGAGTGAAGACAGGCTTAGGGAGATAAATTGCAACATGTGAAAGTGATTGTTCTTGACTCTTGTTGATAGTCATGGCAAACGATACAATTAGGGGGAATTGTCTTCTTTGGAAATTTACAGGAAATGTATGACTCGATGGGCTCATCGTCATTCTAGGGATTAACACAGTTTCCCCTATATTGCTTCCTGTAAGTACAATTGCCTCAACAACATGATTCCCTAATTTTGTAATAAGCAATCTCGTGCCATTGCATAAACCTCTCGACTGATCAATATTTCTTAATAGCATTACTGGAACTTTAACTTTCAAGATTAATTTATTATCAAGAATCCCTGAGCATGATAATGTATTTAAGATCTCAGGGGTGATTTCATCATCCTCAACAGAGGAAGTCCCACCTTGCTTAAGAGTTTTATCCGAACTCAAAAAAGTCCTTTCTTCACCAGGAATCATAGACATTAGGTGCTCGTTTAGCATAGCAACATCGGGCAATTTAGGAGTTAGAATAGCACGTTCTTTAAAGAAGGTCTGATCCAAAATATTATCCAAGAGATTCGGATAAACAAAATTAACCATATCCGACAGCGGATCTTCCGATTCTCTAATCAACAATTCATCTGGAATTGTTATAATAGACTCTCTATCAACATCATCTCCAAGATTACCATCCCCAACTTTAAGTAGCCACTCAGAAAATTCTTTTATTTCCTCTAAATTGTGAGCGCTACTTCCAGAATTAAGACGCATGTTCTTGGTCAAAGTTAATAAATGACAATGGGACCATAGATGAGAAGAATTGATGGTTGCATGAACTATATCTTGTCTGCTGCCATGAGGAATGACATGTAATATTTGCCGAAAGTCACCTCCTAGAACAACAACTTTTCCACCAAATGGCATATCAACACAGCTTGTATCAAAAATTCTAAGAACATCTCTCAGTGTCCTATCCAGAGCCTAAAAGCAAAATCTATGTACCATTGGAGCTTCATCCCAAATGATTAACTTTGTTTTTGACAGCAACTCAGCTATAGTAGATTTCGGCCTTATATTACACGTTGAATCTTCATTGATTTGAATAGGAATACGAAATCTAGAATGCGATGTTCGTCCTCCAGGAAGCAGAAGGGAAGCAATTCCGCTAGAAGCAACATTAAGTACAGTTCCAGCTTTTGATCTAATAGATGCTGAAAGAGTATTCCAAATAAATGTTTTTCCTGTACCACCGAACCCGTATAGGAAAAATAACCCTTCATTACCTGCCGTAACTGCTGAAACAATTTTATCATAAACAGCTTTCTGCTCATCAGTGAGGGAATTAATTAGTCTTTTATGCTCCTCTTCCAAAGCAAATCTGTCATACATTAATTCATCCAACACTAATCGATTTTTCATATCAAGCAAAGTTTCACTATTGATGCGTGGCATTGACGAATAATCAGAGAGGCATTTCCCATTGCTCTGCAGTACCTTATCAATTTCTTCAAGAGTTATGTTTTTTATAGACTCTTCTATAAGAATTGCATCTGACAAAGCATAAAATTCAAAGAAAAAAAAATTAAAAAATTAACAAAGATAAAGTAATCAAAGAAAGAAAAGAGAGCGAAATAAGTACTAAAGCATCATTTGCTGAATGCGGGAAAAAAAAAACAAAATAAGCACTAAAGCAACATTTGCTGAATACGGGCAAAAAAAGCTAATAAGTACTAAGGCAGCATATGCTGATTTCGGTTAAACAAAAAAAAAATTGTATGAAATATTATTATAACACGTACCTTGACGTCCTATTCTTTTCATATGCCGATAAACAACGTCGTCGGATAAAAATTTCCAACACTCTTCCCAAACATTTTCAGGTCTGTTCATTGAGTTGGCAAATAACAACAGAGCAAACAGACATCTAAGATAAGCAGCAGATCCCCAGGAACTTGCCTCCTTAATTGCATCAATGTACTCATTGTCATCATCCAGAAGTCCTAAAGAATAGCACGCATCCTTAAATGTAGGAAAAACCACGCCATTGATCGTTCTAAGATCTTCATAACTGGTGCAACCTCTTTGAAAATTAAGCATGGTGCGAAGATATGAATCTTCTCCATTATTGGCAGAAAAACGATTTATCCTTCCAATGGAAAATCCTTTTTTTCTCGGATTCCATTCATGCATTTTTTCTTTGAAAACAAATTCAGTCGGGTACTCTCCATAAGTTAGATGCCTACCTTGTGGATATTTTTTATTTGCATCCATCCAAGACTCAAAAATTGACAGTCTAGACTCCGCCCTTGTCTTTACATCATACAACGAATCATTATCACTGAAAATAATGTTCTTTTCATTAGGCAAGTGAAATGGCAATCTTTGAACAAGGGGATATCTCGAATGAATGTCAAATCCAAATATTCTCCAAGCTGCTTCACATGCGGAGACATACCTATCATAAATAAATAAATCGGTGAACATTTAAGTTAATAATTTCTCAAAAAAAATTGTGCCAATTTTGTAGGAAAGCAAAACACAATGGAGATTATTTTTAGTACCTGCAGTCATAAAACATTTTTATTTCATCGTCCGAATGATTTATGGCAGCTGTCACTCTGTCATTCCCTTTGTGGATGTATTTAAAAAGATATTTAATGGCACTTCTCTGGCAAGTATATTCAACGTTGATATGAGCCTGGTACTTTAAAAGAAGGTGTGCATTATAGGGCACAACATAACGATTATCAAGTTCAACACCATTTTTGTTCACAACTCTCCCATCATTTCTTCTCTTATAATGAGGAAATCCATCATCGTCAATCAAAGTACGGGAGCAGAAGTTTTTTGGAAATTTTTTTGAACACCGTCCGTCCTTCATGCAAGGAGATTTGTAATTTTCAGGACCACATGGACCATGTATCATGTAACTCGTGACAGCCATAAACAGCGTAGGATTCGTTTCCTTGTCAGGTATCTCCGCTGAAATCAATTTATCAATATCAAGAGCACTTTCAGCTTTGCTTGAAGGGTTCAAGAATAGAAGAATATGAGCATGAGGTAGTCCGCGCTTTTGGAATTCGATTGTACAAACATCTGTTACATTCAAAGAATATAACATAAGTAATAATAAGAATACAACAACGTTATAGAAAGATTCAATGCATGACGTAAATTTTTTTGTATAAAATCCAGTTAACAAAAAGAGTATCAAGTTTATAATATACTTACATGCAATGACTCTGCCAAGAATATTTTCCTTTATGTAGCAACTGGTCTAATTTGAACTTGAAGACTCTGCATAGAATATCAGGCCGATCTTCAGGGTTCAGCTATCTGGCCCTAACAAATCGTGTAATTTCTGCCACTTAGGATTGCAAGTAATTGTTATAAAAAGATGAGGATATCCAGCCCAACGGCAAATTGCGAAAGCATCTTTACAATTTTCAGCCATATATCTAGGTCCGCCTGTGAATGAAGAAGGTATAATGATACGTTTTCCAGTGCTCAGTGCTGCATCTTCACCGCTATCTAATGAATGTTTTATATTTTTGTACAACTCAGCTCTCAGATGACTCTGGTTATATCGAATGAAATTAAGCCGTTCAAACTCAATCATAGTGTATGCATCAACCAGAAATTGTTGGAAAAGTTTCCTTGATCGATGTAGAATTTCTGATTCTCCAGATCGC